TTGGTTTTGTGACTCTGGTACTTTTAATTCCCTTTATCATCTGCAACACTTGTCCAAAATATTCTTCTCTACGAATAATTTAACGCAATGGGGACAACAGTTAATACTGTGTCAATAAAGTTTTTCCTATTTTATTCTAAAGTATCTATAATAGAAAGGGTTCTAAACTCTAGCACCTGAAGTGTTGTGACCTGCTGGTCTATTCGTAAACACGATAGACGAAGGTACACACTGACTGCTACAAAGTACCACCACTACTTAGACTGGCCAATCTGGCCATGATACAATCGTTACAATTAATTAGAACTGATTACGCCTGTAATATCCTACAAATAATGCGAAAGGCATTCAGTTTGTCACCATAATAGATGAATTATCGGATGTTGTAACATTTCTTACATGTTTATAGCTTCATCAATCCAAATGTGATGTTTAAAGTATACGTTTACGCAGTGCAAATTGCGCTTGTTCCAACGAGTCGCACCCAAACTAGTAAAACTGTTAAAAATCTTTGAAAAATATTTAAAACTAGTTGCGCCCGCGACTTCGTACGCGTACAAAACAAACTCTTCAGCTTTATAATATTAGTGTAGATTTAAAGGCAACAAAGAAAAAAACAATTTATAGCAAGTTTAGCCAAACAAACGCCAATTTTATTCATCATTTATTATATTATGTAATCCAAAACTAAATAATTATTAATCACATACAGCCCAATGCCAGGAAATCCAAAGACGGATGTCCTTGATTTGATCCCTTCTTGTATGGCACTCATACAAGACAACAATACTACGAATACCGGGTGTCGAATGATTAACGTTAAGCTCTCGGCTAGCTAGAATTCTAGTAAATAGGAATCGGCTATTAATCTTCTAGCAATGTAGTAGTTTCTTGAAATAAGTAAATAAATATTCTTGGACATGAATGGCGCCATCCAGTTTTGAACTGAGCAAAGCTATGGGTACTAGAAAACGGATATAATAGACATCAGAATTAGTAATTACATTTTTTAAAATCCCTCGTGTTACAATAGTTCGTTCCATAATAGTCCAGGGGCGATGGGGGTTCGAACCAACGTTCCTCGAATATCGATTCGGCCAGTCCGACACCGATACTATTGGACTATTGTCGCGATTTATGGATACTGTATCATATCACATTCACCCTGTATAAACCGATTTATTCAACCCACTAGATTATTGTTTGCGTATCGGAGCGTGGTATGTGGGGTAACTAGTTCGCTTCCCAGCGGTAATTTATGTTAGTTGGCCAAGTGATAATTAGGTTCGGGGTTCGTAGATACATAATTCCTCAAGCGATAACAAATAACAATTCTTCAGCAATGAGGGTTAACGTTTTTATACTCAACAATTCAGAAAATATCTGCTTATAGTCTTCGAACTGATCGCATGATAGAGAAAAGAAAAAAAAAACAGTTGTCAACACTGGATGGAGATTGAAATGACCCTACTCTACAGTGGCGCCATCCTAGAGAGTCCAAATTCGGTAATCTTTCTACCGCTTTACCGCTGACCAGTTTGCGCCACTGTCTTCGCCACTTGACCACCACCCTTCGTGACTTATGACAGTGACCTTACTCTACAGTAGCGCCAGCTGGTGAGCGGTAAAACTCTTTCATTGTAGTTGTGAGTTTCAATCCCGGCAAATGTTACAGCATTGGTTGGATGGAGGTTTAATATTACAGCATGAACTTTTACTTGTTTCAAATCTAATCAAATGTTTTGTTTATGTCATAACTAGCTGACGCGGCGAACTTTGTTCCGCCTTAATGGCAATAAATAACGGGATAAAAAGTATCCTATGTCCTTCTCCTGGCTCTAAACTACCTCCCTGACAATTTTCAGCTAAATCGGTTCAGCCGTTCTTGAGTTATAAGCGAAGTAACTAACACGACTTTCTTTTATATATATAGAAGATTAGCCATAACTATATCATCCAATCAAAGTTTTTCAAATCGTCACAAATTGCATAATAGCCGATGGTGAGTTTCATTGTTTACGTAGAAGTTGCTTCTACTTCATTGAATGCCACTAGAAATTCTTATTAGAGGTCGGAACAAACCTACAATTATCTCGCGGAAGCGTGGAAAATTTTATAATTTTCTTGACGTCACAGCATTCTTAAGGAAAACTATCTATTCGCTCCTTATTCAGGTGTCTGTAAGGTCTAAGTACACAATGGACACTTTAATATGGCAGAGGTTAATAATCTTTTCTTATGGTGTCCTTGCGAGCGGAGCCAGGTGCTTCCTTATAGCAAGGGTTAGATGAGACAAAAGAGCGGGAGGTTGACCTTTGTTGGTGTCAAATGATTTTAGCCTCTTTGGAACTTTTTCAATATGTCTTCCAGAAGTTTGTAATTTGTTTACCTACACAGTTACAAAATAAAAGCCAAAACAATAATAATTTAAAGAACGTGTATGTAAATAAGATTATCTTTTATAAACATATTTTTAGTAAGTAAGGGTAAGACTAAAAAAGGTTAATTACCTACTTAAAAAATGATTTTTTATGTGTGGTGTACCTCCAAAAATTTTGGATTTCCCTTCGTTTACCTTGAACACAAAAATTTTGCGGAACACTGGATAGAGTATGTCCAGTGTAGAGACGATATGAAATGAACGATAATGTTCTGTATTAGTACCAACGACGGGAAGATTAAATTCTGCAACTTTTTCGTGAAAAATACTATATTTCAGGAGTAGTGGAATCGTATTCATTTACAGAATATTTGTAAATCAACGCTCCATGTATAAATGAATGCAACACCAAACTTGTTTTGCAAGTCTTGGCAAATTGAAAACAAAAATTACTGGTTTGAAATAACTAAGTATTTATTTGTTATTTCAACATTCAACGTTAAGGATATTTATTATATTGCAACTGTTGAATACTTGGTGGATTTCCACAATGACCGGTCCTGCGCTGTCCACATCCAGGTACTTCCCGCGACGTTCATCAGATCGTCGGTCCACCTACTGGAAAGCCTGCCTAGTGCCCGCACAACGTCTTTTTAGCCCGTGGTTGCCACTCGAGAACTTTTCTGCCCCAGCGGCCATCAGCTCTATGAGCTCGAAGGACCATGTCGGAGACAGTGTGAGGTGTGTGATGTATGATGGACTGATGTCTGGCAGGTCTTGGTACAGGAAAACACCGTAATTTGCAGTTATCACAATAATTATATTCAAGACACCATTTTAACACCGACTCCACGTAAGATTGCGTACAAGAGTGTTGCCATTGGCAAAAAATATAAAAAAAAAAACATTTAATGTTGCTTGCAACAATGCCCCAACCACTGCCGCTTAAGATTGGCAATTGTACGGGCTATGTCGGTTACTTTACTTCTTACTACTCCTCAATTCTGATTCCATCACACAGGAAAACTCCGTGAAAAGCACGCTCCATCGCCCTTTGGGTGACCTTAAGCCTTCATTAAAACAGTGACTGTAATAAAATAGGGCACATAGTACGCAGAACTGATGGTCGATGGGGCAGCAAGGATCTGGAGTTCCACCCACAAGGTGGACTGAGGTGAGGACCTCGTAAACGTAGCAGGAAGGCGCTGGATGCATGCCGCTACTAACCGGCCATTGTAGAAATCATTGGGGGAGGACTATGTTCAGCAGTGGACGTCCTATGGCTGAAATGATCATGATGATGTAATACAATTAGTACTCACATTGTGCCCTTAGCGACTGTCATGTTGAGGTTACTTAGCACGTGGTTGGGCCGCTTGTTGGACCCGTAGTGCTTGAAGGCGTGTCGCACGCACACGGCCTGCTGACGCTTCTGCCATATCTGTCAACAATAACGAACCTGTCAAAATATACTCTCGTGTAATGGCTATGCTCACGTGACATTGGCAAACGTGCAAACACAATAGCCATAGAGGAGAAGAAGAAAAAGAAAACATGAGCACTTTTTGGCGCAGTCTGAATAGAAAATCGTTCGAATCGGATGAGAAATGCACTCAAATGCCTGATACGATAGTGTCGATAGAACTTGACAATCTTTGAAACAAATAATAAATACGATTGAAACAGATAAGGGTAATACTTTTTTGGAAACTTCTTTAGTTCATACTCGTAGCTCTGTCAATATTTCNGTTGAAAATAGGTTCACCATTACATAGGTACTTAGCAGCGAACTGGCAATTAATCTTGTTAATTAAATGAATTATAATTCGCTGAGGTAAAAGAAATCGCAATAAACTAAGATAATAATATAAATAAGCCAGGGGAAAGTTAGTTACTTAACCAATTATATACAGTTTTTTAGTTACGGAAGAGTGAGTTCATCTTTTGAGATGTGTGATGATGAGTCAGTGCTTTTTTTTAATATTTTTTATCAAAACTGAATACAATATTAATTTCATAATTTAGGATCTTACAAAAGATATTGATATAAGCCATTAAAGTATGTCAGCTAATGCCACATCTGTGTAAAAGTACATATGAATAGGAAATAAGTAAGTTTCTTGTACGAAATGTCTTCTTCTAATATTTATTATAGTTTAAGTATGGTTCAATCAATCGCTTTCGCATCTCGCTGGTATCTTATTTTGAATTTTTGTTTTGATAATTACTTACTATATACTATATAATACTTAACTTTATGTTTCTGCCATGAGGTATTCTTCGAAGCACACCCTTGTTCGCTCTTTCACTATTCCTGGAAGGGCACTTTTTAGGTTGTTCCAACCTGCTTTAGCTAGGGCTCTTCAAAATGGGTGCGCTACAAGGAATATCTCATTAGTAAAACAAAAAGAGAGCCGAGCCGGAAGACTTACTGTGGGCAGGCCTCCCTAGGTGGACCGACGATCTGGGGAAGGTCGCGGGAGGTACCTGGATGCGGGCGGCGCAGGACGGGTCTTTGTGGAGATCCTTGGGGGAGGCCTTTGTCCAGCAGTGGACGTCTTTCGGCTGAAACGACGACGAAAATAAAAAAAGTCGAAATCATCTGTAACTAATAACTCACCTAAGATTCTTCACCATCCTATTCTCGCTGGGCAGGTCCAAGAAGTCCAGTAAGAAGCGGAGTCTCTCCACGATCTCCCTGGTCTCCATGCCGAAGATCCAGCCGAAGTACATCATGGTCTCCTTGATGGTGAACTCGCCGTATAACGCGATCTCTTGGGGCATGTAGCCCACTCGTTTGCCGGGGACGCCTGAGCCTGGGGGTTTAGAAAAGCTTGTCATCATCAGCTCATTTATTCCATTATTACAAAAAGTTAAACGCGCGACGAACGCTGGTTGTCAAATGTCAGTTTAAACGATCAACGCCAGTTTAGCTTTTTGTAATAAGGGGGCTAGGGTTGAAATTAGCGTATCGACATCAGGTCAATTAGGGCTTAGATTAGATTGTCATCATCGTTTAGTCTCTACTACAGGAACAAGACACAACCCTATCCAATTTATCAGCGGCAAATGGAGGAATTGAGTTCATTTCCCATGGTGGGGTGACCTGAAGCTCGCATATTTGTCCCTTAGTCGCCTATCCGACAACGACAATGTAGGTGAGCCTATTCTACTCTGCACATGCCTAAGATTTATTTGAGATTATTTGGTTTGATTTTTTCCTCCGTGGGCACTTTACTTTTTATGAGTATAGTTCTGCTGAAAAAGACGCTAATATAATTTGGTTTAAAAGTCCCAATAAGGTTTTCATTTACTGGGAATTTTGTCAACAACCATGTTTTCTTGATTTTAGCAATTTTGCGGTCTAGACATAGCCCGACATATATGATAGTGATCGACAGGTCACTGGTTCTCCTGCAGATCTCCTCATTTCGATCACGCAAGAAAACTCCGAGCATAGTACGCTCCACGCGTCTGGATGCGGGCGGCGCAGGACCGGTTGTGGAAATCCTTTGTCCAGCTGTGGACGTCATTTGGCTGAAACGATGAACTCACCTTTTGTCCCCGGCTTCCCTCCTAGCACCCATATCTCCCCGCTGTTGAGGGAGCGCCGACCGACTATGCAGGAGAGGAGGGTCGTCTTGCCGCACCCTGAAGCGCCTAGCAGGCCATATCTGCGGACAAAAGGTCAATTAGATATTTAGATATAACTAATATGGGTGGAAAGTTAGAAGGCAAACCTAATCCATAATGAGTAGGTAGTAATCACCTATTATTTACTTAAACACCTAAACTGCATAGATAAACAAATGACTAACAAGTTTTTTTTAGGATCGACCACACTCTCTGAAGAGACCCCGATCACATCCCCAAGCAGGCTCTGGATTGGAACCCCCAAGGAAAACGCAAACGTGGTCGCCCCAAACAAACTTGGCGTCGCACTGTAGCAGACGAGGCGAAGAAGATCGGCAATACTTGGAGCGAGATCAAACGTGAAGCTCAAGACCGAACGCGACGGACGACTGTTGGGGACGCTCTCTGACCCATCTAGGGAACGTAGGACCTTAAGTAAGTCAACAAATTTTCAACTATCCCACACATTACATTTTTTATTATTATTAACTGCAGCACTGTCAAAGCTTAACCAGATCAAAATTAATCTAAAGGTAATTAATACAACAATATTATCTAATCCACTAAAATTAACTTGAGTTGTAAAATTATTAATGGACTATCAAATTGTTATTACATCCTGCTAGTTCTTATTCTCATTACAAACGATTACAAAAGTTGTTCATTAATATTAAATCAATTTTCCTCAAAAATTAAACTACTTTATGACATCTAACTAATACACTAGGTGGTACCTTAGAAGTGAGGCAATAAGAATAACAAGGTATTTTCCTCATTCGTCGATTTATTTAAGGTTTTAAGTAAATTGTTTTAGACTACCATCAATTTGTGGGATACAATACTAACATTTCCGTCAACCCCTGCAGTTAAACTATATTAGAAACTAGCTTTCCGCCCACGGCTTCGCGCGCGTGGACTACATTATCTACATATTTTACGGAACCCTATTTTTTTCCAAAATAAAATGTAGACTATGTTACTTGTGGATAATGTAGCTTTCGAATGGTGAAATAATTCTTAAAAACAGTCCAGTAGTTTTTGAGCCTATTCTTTACAACCAAACAAACAAACAAAGTTTTCCTCTTTATAATATTAGTGCACAGTTTTAAATAATCGATATATCCCACAAAGCTCTCAGAATTGTCAAACTAAAGTAGGCGGGACACAATGCACATAGCTCGTAGAGCTGATGGCCGCTGGGGCGGAAAAGTTCTCGAGTGGCGACCATGGTCCGGAAGACGTAGTGTGAGCAAGCTTTGGTTGTTTATTTAATCTGACACCAAGTTTATTGCAATATATTAGCTGACCCGGCGAACTAGGCCGCCTAATATGCCTATGTTCATGAGAAATAATGTAGGATTCTAATAGTGAAACAATTTTTCAAATCAGTTCAGTAGTTACGGAGCCTATTCAATACAAATAATAAAATCTTTTCTCTTTATAAGATTACTTAGTTACAATAAAACCACATAGTAGCAGAGGACTACTTTGTGTATCTTTCTTGGGAAATTCACGTCGAGATTTCAATGAAAATTATAACTAGTAATTGTCATTCTAAGAATTTATTCCGGACTGAGGTTAGTTACTGTATTTCTAACAAACTTGGGTTTTATAAACCTTGGTATTGAGTCATACCTACTATTTGCCACTCGTCAACAAGGATCAAACGCAAAATATGGAAAATTTTGTCGATGAATGATTTTGATTTAGATTTTATTGTAATCATTGAACGGGTCGGGTAAGTCGGGTTCAAAGTGAAATTAAGTCTTTAACTAGAAACTAGACACAATAGAAAATCTCATGTTGTCCCCACGATTCTTGGTGATTGGTTTTGTGACTCTGGTACTTTTAATTCCCATTATCATCTGCAACACTTGTCTAAAATATTCTTCTCTACGAATAAATTAACGCAATGGGGACAACAGTTAATACTGTGTCAATAAAGTTTTTCCTATTTTATTCTAAAGTACCTATAATAGAAAGGGTTCTAAACTCTAGCACCTGAATGTGACCTGTTGGTCTATTCGTGAACACGATAGAAGAAGGTACACACTGCTACAAAGTACCACCACTACTTAGACTGGCCATGATACATGATACAACTAATTAACACTGATTACGCCTGTAATATCTTACAAGTAATGCGAAAGGCATTCAGTTTGTCACCATAATTGATGAATTATCGGATGTTGTAACATTTCTTACATGTTTATAGCTTCATCAATCCAAATGTGATGTTTAAAGTACACGTTTACGCAGTGCAAATAGCACTTGTTCCCAACACACCCAAAATGGTAAAGAAAAAAACCAATTTATAGCAAGTTTAGCCAATCAAACGCTAATTTTATCCATCATTTAATTATTGTATGTAATCCTAAACCAAATAAATATTAATCACATACAGCCCAATGCCAGGAAATCCAAAGACGGATGTCCTTGATTTGATCCCTTCTTGTATGGCACTCATACAAAACAACAATACTACGAATACCGGGTGTCGAATGATTAACGTTAAGCTCTCGGCTAGCTAGAATTCTAGTAAATAGGAATCGGCTATTAATCTTCTAGCAATGTAGTAGTTTCTTGAAATAAGTAAATAAATATTCTTGGACATGAATGGCGCCATCCAGTTTTGAACTGAGCAAAGCTATGGGTACTAGAAAACGGATATAATAGACATCAGAATTAGTAATTAAATTTTTTAAAATCCCTCGTGTTACAATAGTTCGTTCCATAATAGTCCAGGGGCGATGGGGGTTCGAACCAACGTTCCTCGAATATCGATTCGGCCAGTCCGACACCGATACTATTGGACTATTGTCGCGATTTATGGATACTGTATCATATCACATTCACCCTGTATAAACCGATTTATTCGACCCACTAGATTATTGTTTGCGTATCGGAGCGTGGTATGTGGGGTAACTAGTTCGCTTCCCAGCGGTAATTTATGTTTGCCGGCCAAGTAAGTAAGCAAGCTCGAGGTTTGAGGTTCTTAAATACATAATTCCTCAAATCGTTACAAATTGCATAATAGATGATGGTGAGGTTCATTGTTTACGTAGAAGTTGCTTCTACTTCATTGGATGCCACTAGAAATTCTTATTAGAGGTCGGAACAAACCTACAATTATCTCGCGGAAGCGTGGAAAATTCTATAATTTCCTTGACGTCACAGCCTTCTTAAGGAAAACTATCTATTCGCTCCTTGTTCAGGTGTCTGTAAGGTCTAAGTACACAATGGGCACTTAAATATGGCAGAGGTTAATAATCTTTTGTTATTGTGCGAGCGGAGCCAGGTGCTTCCTTATAGCAAGGGTTAGATGAGACAAAAGAGCGGGAGGTTGACCTTTGTCCGTGTCAAATGATTTTAGCCTCTTTGGAAGCACTTTTTCTGTATGGGTTCATGCGGTTTGTACACAAAGCCTAGGCGCAGACCACCGACTTTTAGTTGGCCGATATTTGGGACTGATTCTAATTTGTAAGCAGAATCGGCCGATACTCGTACCAAATCGATGCACTTTCATACATCTCCTTACTGATTAACAGCCCGACCCAACTATCGGCCAACTAAAAGTCGGTGGTCTGCGCAGGCTTAAAATAAAAGAGCCAAAACAATAACAATTTAAAGAACGTGTATGTAGGGAGGACAGCACATTCTCGTTGTAATACAGGATGTACCTGTATCGATTTAACGAATTGTAGTATAGAATTATGTCCAGTGTAGAGACAATATGAAATGAAGGATAAATTTGCTTATTTTTGTAACAAATTCATTTTTAGTACCAACGACGCGAAGATTATATTTCAGGAGTAGTGGGATCGTAATGAATTATTGAATGTTTGTAAGTGAATGCTCCATGTATAAATGAATGCAACACCAAACTTGTTTTGCAAGTCTTGGCAAATTGAAAACAAAAATTACTGGTTTGAAATAACTAAGTAAGTATTTGTTATTTCAACATTCAACGTTAAGGATATTTATTATATTACTACTGTTGAATACTTGGTGGATTTCCACAATGATCGGTCCTGCGCTGCCCGCATCCAGGAACTTCCCGCGACCTTCACCAGATCGTCGGTCCACCTACTGGAAAGCATGCCTAGTGCCCGCACAACGTCTTTTTAGCCCGTGGTTGCCACTCGAGAACTTTTCTGCCCCAGCGGCCATCAGCTCTATGAGCTCGAAGGACCATGTCGGAGGCAGTGTGAGGTGTGTGATGTATGATGGACTGATGTCTGGCAGGTCTTGGTACAGGAAAACATTGTAATTTGCAGTTATCACAATAATTAGGTATATTCAAGACACCATTTTAACACCGACTCCACGTAAGATGAGTGTTGCCATTGGCAAAAAATATAAAAAAGGAAAAACATTTAATGTTGCTTGCAACAGTGCCCCACCCACTGCCGCTTAAGATTGGCAATTGTACGGGCTATATCGGTTACTTTAGACTTCCTGCGGATCTCCTCATTTCTGATTCGGTCATGCACGGAAACTCCGTGAAAAGCACGCTTCATCGCCCTTTGGGTGACCTTGAGCCTTCATTAAAATACTGACTGTGATAAAATGGGCACATAGTACGCAGAACTGATGGCCGATGGGGCAGCAAGGATCTGGATGCAGGCCGCTACCAACCGGCCATTGTGGAAATCATTGCGGGAGGCCTATGTTCAGCAGTGGACGTCCTATGGCTGAAATGATCATGATGATGTAATAAAATTAGTACTCACATTGTGCCCTTAGCGACTGTCATGTTGAGGTTACTTAGCACGTGGTTGGGCCGCTTGTTGGACCCGTAGTGCTTGAAGGCGTGTCGCACGCACACGGCCTGCTGACGCTTCTGCCATATCTGTCAACAATAATGAACCTGTCAAAACATACTCACAAAAACATGTGCACTTTCTGGCGCAGTCGGGTAAAAATTAATCTTTTTTAAAGATTCCGATTCCAAAGATTATTTTTAAATTTAAAGATTGCCAAGTTCGACATTCGACGTTTGAGTATCTCGATACAATTACAATTTGTTTTAATTGATAACTTGACAATTTTTGAAACAAATAATAAATGCGATTGAAACAGATAAGGGTAATTTTTTTTTGGAAACTTCTTTAGTTCATACTCGTAGCTCTGTCAATATTTTAGTGTTATTTTTCGTCGTGAAAATACTGATTGAAAGTGCATGAAATGTGGGAAATTCGAAGCAGTTGAACACAACTTTATTGGGCCGATGATTTGACCAATATATTCGAGTGTGACGTCAAAACTCAAAAAGATTTCAACCTTAATATTTTGTAACCTACTTATTTACTGACTTCAAACATATGGACATTGAAACAAAGACATTCAGTATGTCCAGAATTTAAGTTATCATAAATAATAATCATCATTTTTCCAGCCCTTGAAAATAAAAGATCCGGCCGCAGCCATCTTAGTAATTAAGTTATGATCATGACAAGACCTCTCGTGCCGGAATCTCATTGAATTAATTACGGAGCGATTTCTGTGACTAATCTGTGCCCTAGATTTATAAACATAGATTAGACCTGACTAGACGTAATATGATCTGAATAGCTAGTTCGGCGAATTTCGTATCTTAGTCAATTAATATGTAACATAAGGCATAAAACGGCGGAATAAATACCTAATTTATAGTTATCGAAGTTTTCATACGTAAGGCGCTGGACGCAGGTCGCTACCAACCGGGCAACATGGAAAGCATTGGGGGAGGCCTATGTTCAGCAATGGACGTCCTATGGCTGAGATGATGATGATGATGATGATGTTCATCAGGGTTCATATATTTTTATAATGGAGAGTATGTTTTAAATTACTCCAGTAGTTTCGGAGCCTATTCAATACAAACAATCTAGGTATTACCTGAAATATCTGAAAATGTGTGGAAAAAATAGCGGAAGATGTGAATACAACAACGCGCGTAAACATGGCGTAAGTAGGTACACTATGTTGTGTCTTTGTTGTACAGTTGACTAAAGCAATATTTACATCTAGGTGCAATACCCAGCCGCGGTGGTCCGAAAGCATCGACCATCAGTCCATCACGTTAGGAAATTAAAATTAGCATACAATGTCCGCTGCATGGGACTTATCGACGAAATGCAAGACGTGCGAGCATGCATTGTTTACTTCATTAGCTGCCAATTTGCAATTAACTGCAATGTTTCTATTAAATGTTCGTTCGTTTCAGTCAAATGACGTCCACTGCTGGACAAAGGCCTCCCCCAAGAACTTCCACAACGACCAGTCTTACGCCGCCCGTATCCAGGCACCTCCTGCGACCTTCACCAGATCGTCGGTTAACCTAGTGGGGGCCTGTTCACACTACGTCTTCCGGTCCGTAGTCGCACATGTTTTGATGTTTTCCAAAAGTTGCTGTACCGTGACTGGGTCCACATTATACTGCTTAAATTGTAAGGCCTAATGCGAATGTGCTAATGTGGTTAAGCAATAAACGATTAGATATTGAGTTCAAACCTCCTTAGTAATCCAATAGCTATTCCACTATTTGTTTTTATATTCAAAGTTGATCTGAAGGTTATGTTTACCTATCTACCAAACTTAAATTACATAATCGTATTACAATACGAGTATGAGGCGTTCATTTTCAAACTCGTACATTTTGGTAAGAGGTAATAATGCCTATAAGTACTTAATTTTAGATTTCTAAACGCATATAAAATTACTAGATATAAGCATAGGTATGCCATGTCCTTTCTTACGCCTTAACGTTGATTTAACACTCTCCTTTAAAGGAATAAGTGCCTATTGTACTTGTTATTTATATACAATTGTCTCTACCAACTGGGAATTTATGTCTTTTGCATTAATAGATTCCTAGTAAAGATTTATATGTAAAGCGTGGTCTTTATTATGTAATTTGTTCGTTGGAACTGGTATATTTATGACTTGAAGTCATTAAAAATTGGTGTGGTGGCCCGGAGATTTGAATAATTCAATCTTTTGCTTTACAAGTTATTTTTGCTTAGTACATCCTTACTTACATACTTATAACAGAATTATCTTTTTACCTAAAAGTAGCCTCGAATAAGAAATAATTGAAAACAATAAATAATTATTTCTTAGGTATGTGAAATTTTAAGTAACTTGAAAGAATCGAGTTGCCTAAGGTGGGACTCGACCACGATTTTTTGCTTTTTCTGAGATGCGACTCTTAACGCTAGAAAATTTTAACCATTAGGTATGTTATTCTTATTGATTATATTTCAAAATCGCATTTATCACAACTTACATAAGAGGCCATGTATCATTTGATGTACCGTCATTTGTAGGGCCATTGTAAAACAACATTTTTCGATAAAACAATCTCTACACAGACATAATAGCGGTCTATCAGTTATAAATGATATCAAATTGGATCTTTCTAGAAAATGCACATTAATTAATGTTTAATAGTTTTACGATACGAGTGTTGCGTAACTAGCACGATTCAATTAATCATACTCGCAGGCATTCCTCGTACACATTGCGCCTAATTTGAAATTTCATATATTTTAACGATGTAGTAATAAGTAGCAATGCCGATAGTCGATAAAACCATGCAGAAGAGACTCGCCTTTATTACAGAGGTAATATTTGACGCAAGAAAATATTCAGGTAAAAGAAAATCATTGAAAAAAATATATTAAAAAGTTATAGCTCAAAATAGAAGTTATAGCTTTATTACTACCAACCAATCAACATTGAAATCATTGGGGGAGGCCTATGTTCAGCAGTGGACGTCCTGTGGCTGATATGATGATGATGATGAAATGCTGTTAACAGAGGTTTTCATTGCAGTAAATTATGTATTAATTTACATATTTATTTAATTTTTCCACAGTTACATTGTCCGTGGTGCATATCTTTTCATAAAGCTTACTAAACCTTTGTTTGTCATTTGTCATTCGCTTTGCAATGGAGGGAAGTCGAACCTTAACTTCTAACTCCTCCTATGTTCTTCTGATTAATTTCGTTGCGGATCCAACGACAGTTTAACTTTCCCCCGGGACAAACTTGACCTTCATTGGTTGGGTTTTTATTGGCGGTCAAGCTGTAGATCCTGGCTACACAGGAGTTGCAGTGGTGGGAACGAGAGGTGGGAATAGTCCCGTTTTTCCACAATTACATACAACTATATATTTTCATAAGTTAATCATAGACGTAGACCTATCTAACATTTTTTGCTGCAGTACGGTTCGAGGGAAGCCAACCTTATGTATTTCAACAATGCAAGTGCTCGGCAGTTACAAGTGCTATTGAACCTTAACTAATGTTCTACAATCAACTGGTTTGCAGGCCCAGTATGGAAATGTAAGAGGTACTAACTGATACTTAACGTTTAGCTTGCAGTGAAGTATTTGCATTGGTTATTTTTTATTGTTTAGAATAGATTTCAAACTTATTATATTGAGTATCTGAATTGAGAATTACATATTGAGCTTTCTCATCTTCTACTAAACTAAAGGATGAATTATTTAATATTATAAGTTAAATATAGAAGAACGCTCAAGTTAAAAAAAGTTTTAACTATTTAATTTCCATCTTTCTTCTTCTTATAGATATTAAAATGATTCTAAAGAAAAATGTTAACTGTAAGTAAACTGCAAGTGATATATTTTACTCTTTTCAAGAAAATTACAAAATGAAAAATATTTCCATAGATAATCTTAATTCTTACTTAATATTACAAATGCGAAAGTTTGTATGGATGTCCGGATGTCTGGATGTCAACATGTTTGTTACTCTTTCACGCAAAAACTACTGAACGGATTTTGATGAAACTTTATAGTATTATTGTTTATAACCTAGAATAACATAATATACGTATAGGCTATAATTTATGACGATCTGTGACAAACTAAATTTCACGCGGGTGAAGCCGTGGGCAAAAGCTAGTATGTAATATAGGTATCTTTATCTTTAACTAGCTGACCCGGCGAACTTTGTTCCGCCTTAATGGCAATAAATAAGCAGACTTTTTTTTAATTTCGAACGGGATAAAAAGTATCCTATGTCCTTCTCCTGGCTCTAAACTACCTCCCTGACAATTTTCAGCTAAATCGGTTCAGCCGTTCTTGAGTTATAAGCGAAGTAACTAACACGACTTTCTTTTATATATATAGATTGCTAACTTAGAATTAACTTAATAATAACGTTAAAAATCAAAACATACTCGCCACTTTTTGTACCGTCTGTCATATGTAAAATGACGTCACATTAGAAAAAAATATATTTACGAGGTCGTTGCTTAACTATTCTGACGTATACAGTACAAAAACGTTTATTAATTCTACTGGCTGTTTTAATTGAGCTGTCGTCAACGGTCAAAGTCCGGAATGGGCAGGTTCTGATGTCTATTAGATACTTTATGGTATACAAGTCTATGCTATCTATGCTTTGCCTTTACGTTACAGTGAGCGTCAAATAAATCGCACCTCCCGCGACAGTTACTTTAAAGATTTTCTTCTGACACAATCACCCCACTAATAAAAGTGATTGTCACGGGACCGGGAGGTGCGATTTATTTGACGCCGAGTGTAGTTCCTAAAACCAAAAGTAGTCAATATTTCGGAACACGTCTTTGTTACAATAGGGATGTTTCCTGGGTAAAAAAGCAAATTTGAATTAGTCCATCAGTTAACTTAGGTATTAAAACATACTCGACACGTATTTTTCACATTTTCAAACTAATTAAAATTTTAAGACAAAGCGCGCCAAAGTTTTAAAGAAGAGGCCCGTGACGTCAAGGCGTGCTTAGAAGTGTAGCACTTTGTGACGTCGCGGAACTTCAACGCACCATAACTTCGTAATTGCTTGATTGATTGACAAATA